AGGAAGCACCCAAGAGACCTCCAAGAGGGCCCCGCATCCTGGAGGCCCCGAGAGTGCCACAAGAAGCTCCCAGGCCTCCTCCTCCTCCTCCTCCTCCTCCTCCTCCTCTCCTCCTCCACCTCCTCCTCCTCCTTCTCCTCCCTCCCCTGATCCTCCCCCTCATCCTCCCCCAAGTGTTCCCCGAAGGGTTTCCAGAGCGGCTGGGGCAATTCATAGTCCGATAGCTTGGCAAATCATTCGTCAAACGTTTGGCCACAGAGGCGCTTCCGCGGCGGTGATTCGCCGCAGGTGTCCTCGATAACAGGGTGCCCGCATAGCAGAGGCGGTCTGACGCGGTCTGCAAGAAGGAGCAGACGCGAGATTGGTCTGAAGCGGTCTCCCTGGAGGCGCAGACGTCAAGCGCCGAACAAGTATCCGCATAACGGGCGCGGTTCGACGCGGCCTCCTAGGATGAGAAACGCGACACTGGTGGAGCTGGTGGATACTGGCGATACTGTTGGAATTGGTGTGTACAGGAGCGAAGGGCACGCGATACACATTTGACTTGCGGAGTAGACATGGCGCAAGCCCTCAGAACTGACAGGGTGCCTGCATAGCGGGCGGCGCGGTCTGACGCGGCCACCAAACAGGAGCAAGCGCGGTACTGGCATGAAACGCGATACTGGTGGGGCTGCTGGGATAGGAAAGGCACGAGTTCGGATAAATAAAAGGTGCTGGGATAGCAGGCGCGGTCTGACGCAGTCTCCAAGGAGGAGCAAGCGCAATACTGGTGGGGTTGGTGGAATTGGAAGTGTATGATCCCTGGTGAATATAAGGTACACGCGTAGCGAGCGCGGTTCGACGCAGGATGCCCGCCTAGCGGGCGCGGTTCGACGCGGCCTCCCAGGTGGAGCAAACGCGATACTAATGGAGACGGTGGAGTGGGACATTAAAAGCGCTATTGGCAGGGCTGGTGGAATGGGAAGGGCACGATCACTGACAAAGTACATGATGCCCGCAGTGCGGGCGCGGTCTGATGCGGCCTCCCAGGAGGAGCAAACGCGATGAGTGGGACGGGCACGATCCCCGATGAATAACAGGGTGCTCGCATAGCGGACACGTTCTGACACGCCCCCCGCCCACGAGGGACACACGAGTGGAGCTGAATGAGTGACACCTAGGTAGAATCCTGTAGATAGCAGGGTGCCCGCGTAGCGGGCCCGCGACTCGTATAGCACATGCGGGAGGACGTGCGCCC